GCTCCACAACCGACCCCTGGCTGCCCTGCTCCTCCTGTCCCCTCCTGCCCAGCCAGCAAAGTCACATTTCCCTCTCGGGACCTTTTTCTTCTCCCCGCCCCCACACCTGATCAAGCACTGGCCACAGTCGGTCTGGTCTGTGGTTTGTTCCCTCACAGTTCCAGCCTCTTCACCCAGCAGTCACTGGTGTCCCCGCTGCCAGTCCACCCCTTCTGCATCCCTCTCTAAAGACAGCTCTCAGCTCATCACGTGTCTGCAGAGTTTATCCAAAGCCTCCAAAATCAAGGGCTGCAACTCACTAAAGAGAACCCTCGCTTCACCACTGCACTGACTTGCCTATGACTCCTCTCCTTCTCCATCTGTCCTCACAGGAGTGGGAGAGCCCTGGTGTGCCAGCGTCACCCGGCCACCAGGGTGAGCGGCATTCTACTATTTCTCTTATGGGTCCCTGAATCTCTAGTCCATTGTGTTCAGGGGATTTGCTGAAAACAAAGGACGCATGTTAAACGTCAGAATGGAGGCCCAAACATGGACGATCCCCCCCAGCAAACCCCCAAATAAGGCATGGTAGAGCCGAGACAGCGTCAGAGCGGCAGACAGTGCCAGACACTGAGCCCAGGGACCGCAGTGATGTCCTTCAAAAAAGCGTGGCCGTAGCTGTCTGCAGAGGGACAGCTCTGAGGCTTGTCATCATGACTCACCTGGCAAGAGTTCACAGGCCTCTAGTGTCAGGGTCCATGGGTGTGAGGGCCGCTGACGCCCTGCCGGGCCCAGTCAGCCTCCTCGGGCCTGAGGGCTTCGGGTTGTGCCACACAGAGACAGGCACAGGAATCCCTCAGAGCCCACCAGCAGTACAACTGGTCCGGGGCTCACAGCCCTGCACTCTGCGAGCTCCAAGATCCTCCTTAAGAAGCAAGGCTTCCCGGCCTCTTACTCGGGACTTCCCTCCCTGCATGCTGCCCATGCACCAGCAGGCACAGATATCCGCACCCTTCCACTTTTGCTAATGGTTTTATTAGGCTTCAAAGATAGTTTTCCAATCTCATTTTGTTTTTTCTTGGTCTTGATCACTTTACCGAGCATGTGGAACTAACTCCCTTGGCTTATAGCACCCTTCTCCATCTGTCTGACCTCGGGTGCCCTTGCTGTCCTCCCAGAAACTGCTTCTCTGGGAAGCACTCTTGTACTGTCGCCTGTCACCTGACACAGTTGCTGTCCATCTTCCTGCATCCAGACTCCAGCCTTGTCTCAGTCACATTTTAAACACCAGTGCCGTACAACAGGTGTGGCACACAGAAGGTGCTCGATAAATGTTTGCAGAATGAATTGTGCACTTTTTCAACCAGCGTTAACAAATATGGGATCACTGCTAACTCCACATCTCGATATAATGGGGCTTTTATGCTCAGAGACAATCAAACTACAAATATACCTGGAGTGGCTTTTCCACACAGGGGCATAACTGACACAGGAATGCTCCTTGGGCTATAGAATGTGAACTTATTTATGACCTTCAGTAATTGCTATGATTCAAGGAGCTTACAAGAAATAACTTGTGAGACGTGGAGAACTTTTCTTGTATATTTTGAAAAGCAGCAGAACCCTTTTGGACCTGGCCCTGTTTGTTTTGCTTATACCAAGGCAGAGCTAACTGCTAAGGTTCCCTCCCCCAGCCCAAATACTCGATGACCTAACGCCCAAGGGCCACACATCTAAACCTGCACCCACTCCCAGGCAACAGTCCACTGCCCAGACTGCAGGGAAACAAAGGCACAAGGGCGTCCACACAAGGTCGACTGCCGAACATCCTCAGCCCTGTGCATGTCACTAGGGCTGTCCAGGGGCTGTGACACCAAGGTGATGCACAGCAGAGAGGGGAGCAGACTCTGGAATTCGAGGATTTGTGTCCCCCCACACCACCTAGTGAGTGCAGGGCCCTGGGGAGAATTCCCACCCACACCTCAGTGACATTCTGAGGATGGCAGTGGACCAATGTGTGACGCGGAGAGAACCTGGAACACAGGAGGCCACCACCACACAGAAGCTTCGATGAAGAAACAGCTCATTCCCTCAAGACTACCTCTGCCAGGACACTGAGTTTTGGGGTACAGGGAAGGTCTCTTGCAGGGATGGTGTCCTAGGCAGAGGCAGCCTCCTGGGCAACTGCGCTCACGCCAGGCACCTGAAGAGCTGGGCTCCCACTGCCCCAGGCTTCATAGCCTCTCTTTCCTCCAATGGACCTGCAGCCAGGCACTAACAGCCAGTCCCTGGCCAGCACGTGGAGGTGAGGACAGCTGGGCGCCTGGGCAAGAGTCCACACTCACAAAACCGGGTCATGCCATGATCTCAGGATAGAAGTAAATGGCCCAGGGCGGGGGATTTCGCTCAGTGGTTCTGCTGCCTGCCTCGTAAGCACAAGGTCCTGAGTTTGAACCCCAGTACCAAAAAAAATTTTTTTAATTAAAATTTTTTTAAAAAAAGAAATAAACGGCTCAGCTTCCCATGAAGCTGCTTATGCTCGAAGTCACAGATCTCCAAAGCAAGGCATGTGGGTGCTCACACACGTGTGTGTGTACATTTCACAAGGGAGAAAACTCTGAAGGCAGACAGTAGATGAGAAAGAAGAGTAAAATCCAAAAGGTTACAAGAGCTGAGAAGTGATCCTGGTCCCAGAGAACTAAAGCCTGTAACAATATCAAAGTTGAATCAACAAGTATGCCATTAAAATGCTTTTATTATTTGCCTTACTTGAACCTCACCCATGTTTCTATTTAATTGCTCTTCTCATTTTCCTGGGTAATAATTATAAGGCTAACTTTTCAAATAAAATAAAATTATTCCTCTGCTCCATGAAGACTGGCTACAGGGCAGGTTGAGGCTCATCCCCCAAGCCCCTGGCCTCAGTCTGGAGTATATTGTCTCGAGCTGAGTTGGGAAGATGGCTCCTATCCTAGGACTTGGACTCATGGCTAAGGACAAGTCACTTGAGACAGCAGGTCGGCGCACCTTCCTCAGCCTCTGCTCCCTTGTTTATGAGATTAATATGCTGGACTAGTTAATAGGTGTGTGTGTGTGTGTGTGTGTGTGTGCGTGTGCGCACGTGTGTGATAAGGACCGGAAGGGAGTAAACCATGTTGTAAGACAAACCAATAATTCGTTCAGTAGGCTCCACGGTGAGACCCTAACCTTCACCTGGTCACTAACCAGTCTATACCATGGGTTAAGGGGTCTTAGCCAGGGTGAGATGGAAGGTCTGGAAAGTTCCTCATAGTGTGCGTGTGCACGTGTGTGATAAGGACCGGAAGGGAGTAAACCATGTTGTAAGACAAACCAATAATTCGTTCAGTAGGCTCCACGGTGAGACCCTAACCTTCACCTGGTCACTAACCAGTCTATACCATGGGTTAAGGGGTCTTAGCCAGGGTGAGATGGAAGGTCTGGAAAGTTCCTCATTGCATTATGTAAGAAATAAAGCAAACATCCCTTTCACAGCTCAGTAATACCTGACACCCAACATGCCGGAAACCTTCCTTCTGCCTACACTCCCTAGGACCACAGCCTCTTGTTCTGCAGAATGGAATAATAAAAACTGTAAATATGATTAGAGACTTCTCATGCAAGCAGTGTGTAGCTAAAATGTTAAAGATTACTTAAAGCTAGAAGCTTTACTATTTGTGTTTTAAAGTACTGTTCGGAAACCTTGAGATCCATTTTCTGCCGTCCTCTACTTCACTCTATCTCAGAAAGAGACTTACAAATTACATTTTTCCAAAGTCATGTACCCTCTGGCTTTGGGTTAAATTTGAGCAGCACTGGCAGGGGCATTTCCCCTCCTCCTTGGCACTGAGTGTCTGTCTGGCAGCCATGCCACTGTGACCCTGCCTCCCAACGGGACACTGCTCCCTCTGTGGTCCCAGCTCCTGCTGGGTGGCTCCTGACACTCACCGCCTTTTACCTTTGGTTCTCCAGCCCTACGGGTAATAGTGGCATTGCTTCACTGTGCCTCCAGCCTTTCCAACTTGGCCTGTGGACACCTGCACTGAACTACGTGGCATACCTCTGCCTTCCTGTCGGGACCCTGGGCAATGGCACTGTCCAAGGGACTGCAGGCTCCCCGAGAGCAGACAATGTATTTGGGAGCACACAGGCTCCTTTACTGCTTACTCATCCTCCTCTACTGGCCAGGAAGGACTCTCAAATGGTCATCTGTTTGACCACCTAGTAGTGCTTATACTAGTTGTGTGTGGGAGTGGAAGGACCACTGGATGGGGAGAAGCAGACTCGCTCTCCCTTGTAGTAATGTGACCTTTGCCAAGTACCTTGAGCCACATGAGCTTGACTTTGTTCATGTCAAGGGGGACAAGAGTTCATCTGACCTGTTGACTACTTATTTGGCTCCAACAGGGAAGGCATGGAATCACATTTTAGAAACCTAAAGCATGCAGCACACCTAACATGTCACTATTATCATATGAGACACAGTTGATGGACGAGAAAACACTTTGTTCTCAGCTGAGCTCTGCCTTGATTTCTCAGGCTGATCTGTGATAAATGTTGACATCGAAAAATGTGCGTAGACTGGTCTGTGCTGTGTGGATCCTCACTGTGGTCATGGTAGGGACTCCCCTTGGCACCACATTTCAGTGGGAGGCCCCCACTGTGACTGCAATGGATATGCTCCACTGATCACTTGACTGGTGTGGGAGCTGCCGAGGGGCTTAGGAAAGCACACCTGGGTGGGCCCCGGGCCATGACCTTGGGGTTCATCTGGTCCCTGGCCCTTCCCTCTCTGGAAGTGTTTCCCTCTCTGCTTCCCAGTCACCATGAATTGAGCATCTTTATTCCTCAATAGCCACCTGCCACGATGTTCCTTCCTTGGCCTCAGCTTACCATGGACTGAGTCTCCTGAACCATGAGCCCAATTAAAAGTCTAGTCTTTTAAACTGTAGTGTTGGGTATTTTGTCCAGCAATGGGAAAGCCAGTACAATGATTAACTCACCAATGTCAAGGACCCTCTGCTTGGCTGTATGCTGCCGGGAGTGCCAATACTTCCAGTATTTCAGCTGCTCATCTCGGTTTTTGTCCTCACTGAAGACCACCATCACCACGCTCTGCAGAGGGGAGAACAGGTACACTTATTCTCTGCTTAGGGCCTCTGAGGTCTCACATAGACAGTTCTGGAAGTTCTTCTGTAGATAAGTTTCTCTAATGTGGCTTTTCTTGCTTAAAGAAAGCCCAGACAAGCTCAGCTATATGGTTGGTTTTGTTTTAAAACAATGGAGATACTATTGGGAATGGATTGGAGATAATATGGAAATGAAAACAGAACAGAGAAAAATGAGTCCTATATCAAATTTACAAGGAGATAAACAATCAGATGAACCAATAGCCCCCAAATTAGTTATTTTGTAAAGTTAGCCAAAACATCAAAAAAAATTTTTTGTGTGTTGAAAATAACATGCTTTTGAAATTTTATGTCCTTAAAGAATTTAGTACCATTTGTGAAAAAAAACAAACCTCTACTGCTGGCCTAATGAAGAGCCTCAAGCTAGAATAGAAGAGGTAGTACAAGTAATGCTAAGGAAATGAAAGAAATGGTAAAAAATGAATTCATATTGATAAACAAAGATTTAACCTACGGATTTTCCACAACCAAAAAAGTATGAGGGGAACTACATTATCTATTTAAATAAAATGTGGATATAAAAATGCGCTTGAAAAACTAATTCTGTTTTGGAAAATAAGAATCCACAAGCTCTTTGGTTCTAAATTGCCAACAGCATCATTAAACTAAATACACATAAATTTACTGTCATTAACAAAAGAGAGGCAGTGCCATATGCAAGCAAAGAAGCCAACAGTCACAGTACCAGGAATATGCCTCCTCGCATTCCAACACATTCTGACCATCCCAAAGATATCATCCACTATCCTTCCTGAAGACCTATCCCTCTCTGGCAATTTCACATGTGTGGTTATTTGCTTCTTTAGCTACACAGCCAGTGGTAACATCTTCCCATTGACTCTGAGCTCAACAAGGGACAAGGTCCACTGCTAAGCACGGTGGGCCCGGAGAGTAAGGAGTAACAGCAACTTCATGCTGGTGGCTGGCTATTGACTCAAAAACTGGCCCCTCCCTAATCGACACGTGCACACTTTTTATACAAGAAAGCAGATGCTAGTTAGAATACTGACAGTAGCAAAGTGTGTTCATGTTACCGGAATGTGGGGCAGCAGGTCTCCAAAGACAAGGGTTGGCAGCAAAGAAGGGAGCCATCTTCTGCTGCTGGGACTTCTGGCTCAGCCATTCTTCCCTCTTCCCTCACCCACTGCCTCAAACCTTCTACTCATATGTGGTTTGTGTTCATTTCCGCTCCAAATAAAAATAACACCTTTGTTTTTAATTTAAGCGAGTTGGGTTCAGGAGTCCCATGGCCCATGATACATCCCAGATTCCTGTAACCTTGGCCACTTGCTAGCTTTTCTTATCAGTAACATCAGCAGTGCCTTTTACATGGGGCTGTTGTTTGCTGCGGTTCATTGTGAGATAGGCAGAGTCTGACATAGTGCCTAGCACACTGTAGGACTCAACAGACATGGGTTGCTATGTTGTAAGCCCTCATGGCGTCACGGCACACCCTCTGCTGTGGGTTCAACCATGGGCTTGGCACTAATTCTGAGTCACAGCCGACTGGGCCCCTTGAAAGCCCATTACCTCAGCTCCCCTGTGGAGTAAGCTTGAGCAGTGCTGTGCACCACACATTCCACAGGGCTCAGTGGGAAGGAGCCACGGAGAAAGTTAAGGTGGGCTGGGCGCCGTGGTTACAGCGGCAGGAAGCATTTCGTAACAGGCCAGGAAAGGCCGTTTTGCAATGGACCAGGAAAATCCTTCAAGCTCTTCTCAGAGCTCTGCTAGGATTTTCCTTCTCAGTGGAGGGATTATGAGTCCCACCCTCCTTGGCAGCAGCAAGCAGGTCAAAAACTGGCAGGCTTCCAGACTGTGAGCTCCGCTCTAGTTTCATTTCCCACTGACAGGAATGATCCCTGCAAGGAACTCCGGGTGGGGATCACACCTCATACCCTGAGCCCTGAGTGTGTCCTGGGCTGCAGAAAACTTCTAAACAAAGCTGCGAAAGGACCGGCTCAGAACGGATGGCTTTCTCATTTACACAGAGCAACAGCTCCCACTTGCCTATAACTCGCCCCAATGTCCAGCTGTTTATGTGAGAAATTAAGATCGGTTGAAATCAACAACTGTACAGCAGGTGGGCAGTGAATGGAGCAAGGAAAATTCCTTGGGTCCAGTCAGAAGGCATGCTCAGCCACGCTGCTGCCCTGGGGTTTATTGGTTACCCATTAAAGCGATAAACTATAAGCAAATACATCGTCTTGCTCCAACTCTCTGACATTTGTTCTACAGTTATTTATTTTGGAATTTTCTCCCATTCCACAAGGCTGTGAGGTAGCGATCCCATGCATCCGATCCTGGGTTACCCTATTCTGTGAACGCAGCCGTACCCTGACTTTGCTGATGGGGTGTCGGAAGCATTTGTTGTCCCCGGTCTCGCTGAGTGTGATGGCGTAGAACTGTCCTTTGTTGAGGTAGGTCATGGGGCCCTCCCCCTGCTTCTGGCGGAGGGATTTGGTGGCTTCCAGGGTGTACTGAAATGTGCCACTGTGAACAGAAAACAAATGGTGCTCAGAGTCACTAACATGGCCATCTCTGCCCGCCTGACCTGTCACATCAAAAGTGTTTTGTATGAATATTAACCAATGTTTATTATATTTTAGAGACACAACACAGCATATGGCAGAAGAGATGAGACCAGATCAAAGGTCATCACCAGTACAATGTATACAGCGCTTCTAATAGTGGCCCATAAACCAGATGGTTCGGAAGGGGAGAAAGTCCATGATGTGAGTGGCCAGTTGTGTGGTCTGTGCAGAGCACACTGGTGGATCAGAGCAGCCTAAAGCTTACACTGCTAAACTCTGCCAGATGTGAGTGCTTCTGTGCAGCTCGGGATACCTAACTTTTTTTCTTCTCTAATGTTATTCATGACAGCTAACTATCTGTTTATTAAGATGTTGCAGATAGCCCTATCTCAATTAAAAGTATTTCAAAATGTGAAAATCCAGAACTACATTCACTACTGAGAATCTAGTTTCCTAATGGGGAGGGCTATCTTTGTTTGTCCATTTAGTTTATCTTTTGTGACTGGTTTTTACACCTGTAGAAGAACTCAGGACAGAGCTGCTATAAAACAGGGGGACTGCAAATGATGGGTGGGGATTCAAAGCCAGCTCACTGCTTGTTTTTGTAAATAAAGTTTTATTGGCACACAGCTTCAGTCCTTTGTGTATATATTGGATGCGACTGCTTCTGTGCTGTAACAGCTGGGTTTGGTGGTTGTCATAGAGACCGCAGGCTGCTAAATCTAAAATGCTCACTCTGTAGCTCATTACAGGAAAAGTTTATAGTCTTGCTCAAAATAGTTTCCCTAGTATTTTAAAAATATGACATGATTCACGAAACAGAAACACTGAATATTCCCAACCTTGAATATTAACTGTTCAAAATGAACACAACAGGCAAGAGCCAATCTTTTTTGCTTAACATGTTTGTTCAAAGAAACTTATTTCTATGGATATGGTCAAAACATTATGCACACTGAAGCCAAAAACAAGAAAAAGAAAAGGTGAAGATGGGGGAGGGTGGGCCAAGGGGGTGAGGAGGGATGGGAAGGGTCTAGGCTCGTTACGTAAGCCCACAAAATCAGCTAGCGTGAAACCCAGTAGACTGTAAAGCCAATATGCACTTGCAAAAATGTTAAAGAAAAAAAAGGAAAGGAAGATCTCATTTCTGCCCCAGTGCAGGCTGGCCGTGGGAGAACCAGTAAGGAGCACCGTACTTTCTGAAGTCACACCTGCCACCTTTCAGCTCTTCATTCTGTTGCCATCGGGAAGCTGGGAGCAAAGATTATCCGATGCTTTGTCTCTTAAAACAGCCTATTCACAGGATGTGGGGCTCCACTTTCCCAGTCAGACTCTTCTGTAAGGTTTTACCTATATTTTAATTTTTATAAGAGGCAATCATTTCTAGGGACAAACTATATAAAAATCTGAGGTGTAAGCTGATAAACTAAGCAAATTCCATAAATAATATCTTAGAAGATGGGAAATAATTCACAACAGGACAAATTCTGTTGTCATTTTGCCCACCCCCCAAAAAAGCAGTTTTGATATAGTCCTGCTAAATGATGACATTTTACATCAGGGCAAAATATTAAGAATCACCTAGACCAGCAGCTTGTACTTCATCTATACCAAGGACTAAATATGAAGAAAGCTAGGAACGCTTTTCTCAGGAACAGGCACATGGAGCTTAAAGGATGCTCTCGTGGGACTGCTGTGTCCCCTAAGCCTGGCACAGGGGTTTGCGAGGCCAAGGTTCTCTCTGCCCGCATGTGGCCTCAGGACATATTGCTCTCGCGTTATGCCCTGGAAATGTAACACCGAGCTCTCTGTGCATCCCCACATTTTATTTTATCCTATTTTTGTAGTAGAAATTTCTTTTTTTCATCTTTTAAATATATCAGTCCATGCTTGCAGTCATAATGTTCACATTCCTTGTGGGACTTGGTACCTGTGCATAATGCATCTCAATTCCCTTTATACCCCCTTCCCCTCCCCTCTGTTGTCCCTCCCTCCATCTCTTGAACCTCTGCCATTGAGAAAGATTGATCTCCCTACTTTCTGTATTTTATTTTGCTCTTTATTTATACTTTGGGTTTCTCATGTAGGAGAAACCATGTGATACCCAAGCTCATGTGTCTGATTTACTCTGTTTAACATAATGGCCTCGAGGTGCATCCATTTTACTATAAATGACTCAAGTTTGTCCTTCTTTATGGCAGAGCAGTACTCCACTGTGTATAAATATCACATATCTTTTTATTCCCACATTTCAGAAGGCACAGAAGTTCAATTGCACAGAGAGAAGAAATGAAGGCAAAGGAAATCAGATTTCCCTAATGAAAGTACACAAAGAACAAGGGAATTTTAAAAGTTTAAAGGTCTAACCTGAGGGCACAAGGAATCAATGATGAATCTCAAAACCCACCTTGAGGTCTGGTCATACATGTACTCCTCAGCCCCAACTGAAGTACTCCGAAATTTCTGCAAGATTTAAGGCATCGAATTAAAACAAATACCACCCCCATAATCATTATCCCCCCATAAATATCTCGGTTCACCCTCAATTTTCTTGGGCGAAGTACTTCAGACCCACTTACATAACCAACTGGCAACAACATACCTAAAGATCATTGCAGATCATTCAGTTTAATTTCCATCAGGCTGAAATAAAATCTGAAATGTAAATAATGGTTTCCAAAACTTAAAAAACAGCTCAACTGAAATCAGTGAGAGTACCCTTGACACTTTATGGTAATTTTCTTTCTCAAAGATGCCAAAATAAAGCCAAAAACAACAACTTCTTTTCACAAACTTCTTTATCTACAACACTGGTGTAACTGATAATGCCCTCCCAAGCAGTATGATGGTTCCACTGACAATGGACTCTTCTGTGACTCCCCAACTAACTCTACAATATGTGAGCAAACACATCAGCAGCGAGACTTTGGTGAAAAAGCATTTTGCTCATGGGATCACCTGCTTTTCCTACAAAAGCATCACTCACTTCTTGGGTAGGAATCAAATATTCAACAATACCAAACTCTACAAGATCCCTTGCCTTTGTTTTTAAAGTTTCTCATTTTAAGCAAGATAACATAGATAGCTAATTATGAGGCTTTTTATCTTTCACCATGAGGACATTACAAATTCAGTTGCCAAGCCACCAAACCCTAAGAAATGTGACAGCCTCCTAGGGCCGGAGATTTCTCTTGTCTAGCTTAGGTCACTCCCCGAAGTCAGGGGACACCGCTGGTGCGGTGGTGACAGGGCTGCTACTGCCCCATGGAGATACCAGCTCCCACCAGTGCTGCCTAGAGCTAGCAGGGCTACTGCCAACCTGTTGAACCTCTTCTCCCCAGCTGAAAGAGCTATCTATTGAGATAGGTAAAGGGCACTCAGATTGTACATAAACATTCAGATGAGTCACTGTCATAGCGATGGGGCCACTGAGAATCAGAAAGTCCTGCAGTCTGCCCTGAGTGTAGAGGGGATTGGTTACGGATCTGGGGTTTGCAGCACCTGGCATGGGTCAGCTTCACTCTCTCTCATTTGCTGATAAATGACTGTATCTGTTCTCTGCCATAGTTTCCTTATTAAGAAAGCAGGAATGACAAGAACAGCACCAGCTACACAGGGTTACTTCTATATAGGACTTAGATCCATGCTGCTGTGATCTGCACATGCTATTCAATGTTCCTGTGTTGGAAACTCAATCCCTAGTGCCACAGCATTGAGAGGTGGGACACGGGAGAGGAGATCAGGGCATGAGAGCTGCCCTCACGGATGGACTGCCACCATCATGAGTGTGAGTTCTTACTAAGGGAGTGGGTTCTTCATTGGAAGAGAGGGTCTGCTAAAAATATAAACTCAGCACTCTGTCGCACATGTGTACTACTAGCCCTTTCACCTTTCTTCCTTGGACGCCGCAGCAAGAGGACCTCAGCAGATGTGGCTCCTTGAACCTGAGCTTCTGAGTCCGAAAACTGAGTTGAAAACATTTCTGTTCAGTAGAAATGACCCAGTCTCAGCCATTCTGTTACTATGGCACAGATGCCAAGCACACAGCAAGTACTCATTGAATATGGGTTATTTTTCAATGTTACTGTTTAGGAATGGAATCTCAACCTCACGTAGCTGTATTCTGCCCCAGTGACGACTAAACAGGCAGCTGGCTGAAGGTATCTGGCACACTGCCATCCCACTTACTCCTCTGCCATTGCCTTTTATTGGTCCAACTGGAAAGCCAATGATTCTGAAATAGAGTTGTTCTTTGAAATACAATTAAAAAACACACCTATAATTCCAACACTCTGGAAAGCTGAGGCAGGAGGGTACCAAGTTATAGCCCAGCCTAGGTAATTCAGAGACAATCACTTAAAATTTTAAGATTTTTTAAAAGGGCTAGGGAAATTGCTCAGGGAGAATGAGACAGGAAGGTAAGGCATGGCTACAACTGGCCGGGAAAGGAGACATGACAACATCCCAACACATGCGTAGAACAGTTCTCAAAGCCTTGCACATCAACTTGTTGCAAGAACTCCAGCATGTTTTCAATAATGTGGCTCAGGCCTAATGTCAGCTTGAGGAGTGGATGATAACACACTGTGGACAGGCCACACTGAGTTTTGCTGTTATGTTCTCTCTCGCACAGTGGCCCACCTTCATGCTGTAGAGTGTACTTCTTTTCCTACTTTTACTTGGTCTAAACTCACTGTGCATAGCCTATTTCTGTTCCTATCTCTAATAAAACTTTGCTGCCATTTGTGCTTGTCTTGACCAATTCTTGGCTCAGGACGGAGAGAGCCTAGAATCACCTCTAAGCAGAAATACCAGCAACCCAGCACCCAGTAACAGGAAGGCCCTAGGTTCGATCTCCAGTACCACAGTACAAAATAAGTAACAAGAAACCAAAAACACTATACAAGATGCAAAACATATAAGTAATAGAGGGCTTATATTTTATCACTAAAAGAGCACTTAGGATTTAATAAAGGAAACGTAAATAACCCAACTTAAAGATTGGGCCAAAGATTTGAACACTTCACAAAAGAAAGTGATAGGAAGGGCAAAGGAATATGAAATTTTGCTCAATATTAGTAGACATCAGCAAAATGCAAATTCAGACTGACAATACCAAGTTGTGGCAAGGGACTAAATATCTTCTATCTATATGAAAGTATAGAAAAGGCAACAACCCTGTGACAGAAGACAAATGCATACCAAGAATTAGGGAGGAGGGAGAGATCTGCCTACAAGTTCAAAGGAACTTTCAGGGTGAATGGACTTCCTACGGGACGCTTCTAATGTTAGCTACACAGCTACACACAAATCCAAATTGATAGAACTTAGGAGGCAGGCAAAATGTTTCTGTAAGTTCTATGGGCACCTTAGAAGAAATTATGTAGTCCTTAATTGTAAAGTAAAAAGTGCACAGGCTAGATTATTGATAAATACAATTTCACTTTCTTAAATACTCAGTACAACAAGGTTTTAAAGAGCTATACTGTTTATCAAAGAATAAACAGGCAACATTCCAAGCTACCTACCATGTGGAAGGCTGTAAGCTAGCGAGCATGAAAATCTGACACAGCAAGAAGTTTCCACACCAACATTTCTTAATTCCTTGCAAATATTTAAGGCTAAAACTAAAATAAGTGAAGCAATCAACCAAGAAATGAAAGAAGGAAGCGGGGGGGAGAAAGGCAAGAAAAAGGAAAGAAAAGAGAGAAGGAAAGGAAATAAAAGGTAGAGGAAAGGAGAAAAAAAAGACAAGCCATATTTTTCCACACACATCGCCACACCTTAACACCAGACCAAAGCACTTTTATTCATTCAGTCCACGGAGAGCGGAAACAGGAAACGGCTCGGCCGGG